AAAAAAAAAAAAAAAAAAAAAAAAAATCCAAGAATTTCTACCAAATTGAAATGAAGAAAAATGAACATATGGCTTCATAGAGTTTCATCAATGGTCTCTAGTGCCGGTCTCCAAGATCTCTGCTTCGAGTACCTTTCAACTGGCTCTGGCTCTCTAACCACCTCTTCTAATCTCTTCAGCTCCGAAGGGAACATGCAAAATTCACTAAACACAGGAAAAATCTTGCCCAAATTGTTGAAACTTCCGTGCTTCGTGGCCCTTGTTGCTTTGTAATTAAGAGAGCTCATTTCTTCATGTGTTAGCACAGAGTAGAGCAGTTCCATTGGTAGAAGGAAGTAAAATTTGCGCCTTTCAAGTTCTTCATCTGCTAGGAGCCCTTGAATTCGGTGTCCCTCTTTGAGGTAGCTAGAGTCACAAACAAACTGTCCAGGGTACTCTAGCATCAATTCTGCAGCTCTCATTGGTTTTGTGTAGGCCTCTAACCTCCCATCTAAGAATAGGACCTTGAAGACCCCATTTGGTGTCAAGGAAGGAGTGCAAGAAGCTGCATTTCCCATTTCTTAGAAAGTGTCGAGGGTGTTTCCTCTTAGAAATGTTGGGAATTTGGTGCTGAGTAGGTTGATGCAGCTTCTTGGAATGTGACTGTATTTATCAGGGAAGCTACCAGGTAGTTAAGAAAGAAAGAAAGAAAGAAAGAAAGAAAAAAAAAAGTTGATTGTCGTTTTCTGGCTGAAGGTCCATAGTTGGGTAATCAGTTGGCATATCTTTATTACGATATTCTGATTTTATTTTTTTAGTACTGAATTTTGTCGTAAGTGTTGTTATATCTTTAAAACTAAGTTTCCCATCTGGCAGCAGCTTAGTTTTTATGCAGATATGAAATTAAGAGAAAGTAGGTGTGTCTTTGGGCATTTTCAGCATAATCCATGTATGTGCCCCCTTGTGTCACTTTAAATGATCATCTTTTTAATAAAAGGTTAGAAAAGCCACAAATGAAGGAAATAGACCAACCTGGCAAATTTGGCCTATTTTGACTTCTTTGTATGGAAAAATCGATGCACATAACTTTCCAGTTTGTTTAATTTTGTATTTCTTAGTTTCTAATGGTTCAGAGAATAGGAGACTAGTTTATTGGAGTGCACATGGGGAGGGATGGAAAAAAAGGCTACGGGATATAGCAACCTCACTTAAGGACACTACCAAACTAATGATTAGATATGGTACCACGTATTTTCTTTGATTTTATACCATTAACAAGGGATTCACCTGATGTTTTCTAATATTTACACATGGACTTAGTTTTGGATGATATGAAAGGAACATCTGCATTTGATGGCAAACGTCAAATCTATTGCTTGGTATCGGGTCACTATCCAATGTTAGCTTGCAATATATTCCCATGAACTCATTATATTAAGTGCGAGAACATTTCGCTTTTGCACTTATAGTGTCTACCAGTTGTCAATAGCTATGCTATTCATGTTTTCCACACAATTGCTCAAGCACGCAGCTAATTAGATAGATAAACAGCGTATACTTTGTCAAATATTAAAGAATAGTTAAAAGAAAATCAACCACTTTGGCATTTTATAATAGGATGTTTTGATGTAATAAATTTCTTTGGGAGTAGTTGGCTAAAACAAAAGTCATTGGGTTTGGGAATAGAAGAATTTGATTGAAAAAAGTTGGTATAGCACAGTAAGAAAGTATTAAATTTGCTTGCTGAATTAACAAATGAAGAATCTTAAGTAGGACAACTAATGATTGGCGTTTAGTTTTGGACTTAACATATAATTAGTTGTCAAATAGGTTGAATGTACATTGAATGTTTGATTTGATGGGTTTTCTTCTTGTGTCCTATCCAACATAAGTAGTGATTATTAGCAAGCAGCGGTTCGGTTGTTGCTTAGATGGTTGACATCAACAACATTAGACAGAGAGTTCACAAACTGTTAAACTACTTGCTTTCTAGAAGCCAATATTCACTTATGATCAGAATGATCATGTTAATCCCAAATGCAAAACATATCTACCTGATATGTTGGATTGCAACATGAAACTGCGCCTAAGAAAAATGAAGAAATTGGGGTGGGAGGGAAACAAAATACGATAAAGAGAAGGAAATTTTAAAGATCGACTAATTATCCACGAAAGCCACAACTGTTTCCTTTTAAAGTGAGCTAATAAAATATTCACTTCAAAATTTCTGGAATTAAATTTATTATGTGCTTAAATTAAATTAATAATAAATATACTTTTATTTTTGTACCTTAATAGGGATAGAGTATCTGTTCATGCACAGGCAAATTGGTTACGGCTCCAAAATCATAATTTTGGTCCTATGCATCTTCCATAAAGATCTCTGGCCAATTAAGACCAGCTGTTTGCTTTGCACCAATAAAAAAAACCAACAACAATAATAAAGAGCCGTGTTTGCTAGCTCAATAACACTTTTTTGAGCAAGGAGGAGGGATGTTAAGCTTCGAAAGAATAAAAACCCAATATTGCATCTGGTGAAAAGTTTAGGTATGTTTTTCAAGCCGAGTAAATAAGCACTTATCAATCAGACACCAAACATTACTAATTTACATTTATATTCCCGTCTTTTACATACATTAATATAAAAATTCACATTTTGGAAGTAAAAGGATCGGAACTCTTTCATGCCTCAGATTTACCCACTTCATGGAAACATCCAGTAAATAAAATGTTCATTTGGCAAATAACTTATTAATCTGCCTACACCTTGAGATTTTGATGATATCAAATTAAGATATTTCGTTAAATTATTGGAGTGGATTTATTTAAAAGATAAAATATCACTAAATTCTTTTTGAGAAATTATATATTTATCACATCCAAAATGGAGAACAAAAAGCAACTGACAATTTTTTTTTTCAAAAACAAAACAAAAAAGAAGATAACAATGGGAGAAGAAAAAAACTAATGCTGATTTTTAAAGCTTCAGAAACAAATGTATAAATTAATTATTTCTTAAAAATATAATGTGCTCTTTATTAATAAGTAAAATCTCAAGTTTAAATTTTATAAATAGATAAAAATGTGATAGGAAGATGAGACTTTCATAAAAGTGAAACAATAAAATTGTTTTATAGCATCGATAAAAAAAAAATTGATAAATATTTCGTAATAATAATACAATCATAAAAAAATTGAATTAATATATGTAACATAATAAAAGAATTATACTCATCTTAATAATCTTGTTATGTTAAAATATAAATTTCTTGTTGGAAATTCGAAGTATCTTAATTGTAAAATTAAAATAAAATTTAATGTAAGTAATTTTAATTTTAGTCATTATAATTTATATAAAAATCTTTAATTTTTATCTATTGATGTTTAAAATAAACATTTTTTTCTCCTAATGATATGTTAATTGATATTTATTGGATCCATTTGTTTAAATTTAAAAAGAGGTCTTTTTAAATCGGTACTTTTAAAAAAAGCAATTTTTTAAGATGCATATAAGAGTTTTTTTATTAAAAAAAAGGAAAATTACTAATTAATTTTTTTTAGGCAATTGTATTAAAAATTTAAAAAAATCATTTTATTTTAAAAAAAAAAATTATAAGATAAAGGTTCAGACAAATGGATCTATTATTTACTTATGTGTTTGTCATAAGATAAAATGATTGTATGAGATGACATAATGACATGTATTGTGTTTGACAAGATAGAATTTGAGAGGAGGGGGTGGATTTGAAGGGAATGTTAAAAAAATGACTAACTCAATAAAGTGGAAAGAAGGTGAATTAAATAGAATAAACATATGACTCATATGAATAATGAATACCTTAAAAATTGAGGAGATTGTGACATAATTCAACTTAAGTAGGGATCATAAACTATGATATTGTGTCAATTTATAACATTTTATAAATTTTTAAAATAAATATAAGATATTAAAATAATATATATAAATTTAAAAATATATTATAAAAATAAAAAATTTATCCTAACTAAAAAATATACAAAATAAAAAAAATAAAATTATGTGGCATTGCATTAAAAAAATATCTTTTACTATAAGTAAGTTTACAAGCGGAGAGTGGGACCGAGCAACCTGATCTCGAATGAGTTCACGTTCTCCTCCACTCGTCCCTGCTTCTGCTTATTCTTCTCCTTCCACAGGTAATCCTTCTTCAAAATTTTTCTGCTTAAGCTTCTATCCTATGTTTTGAAAGCTTGCGACGCCCACTCACTTCTCTTTTCTTCAGGGATGGCATATGTAACGCATGGAAATGCAAATTGCAACTCCTTATTCCTAAAATTTCCAATTTCCCATACCGCTATTTCTGCTCTGCCCTTCTTGCAACCGCCAGTAAAATATTGTACACCTTTTAACAGAGGTCGGTTAATTACTGAACTGCTTGTATAATTTTTGTTCAATGGAGAGAGATACTTATTTTCTTATTTCTGTGTGTGGCTCCTTTCCTGCTAAATCTTCAGGAACACTCATTCCCCAATGCTTAAATGGAAAGAGGACTTTTACTTTATCAGACAAGAGATTTAATTGGAACTTTTCAAAGAAAGAGACTTTCTCTATCCCTAGAAGTAGTAATTCTTCCAATGAACCCTCTAATGAGACGGAGGTACGTTTGAGCCAATACTAATGTGATGATATTGTCAATTTTCATATTCAGTCAGTGGGATTTGACCGGAGATTGCTATCAGCTTAAATTTTAACCATGTCACCTGGTTGCCAAACCCCAAATGCACGTGTTTTGGACGGGGAATTTCTTATTTTATGATAATCTGCTTAATGCCATGGCCAATACCAACTTTGCACTTTAAAGACTATAACACCAATAGGAGAATGACTACTTTTCCTGAATGAAGATGACTACAGATTTCCTGGAATCACTTCCTTATTTTTTGATATATTATGCTTCTGTCTTCTGAAAACTATGACCAGTCAAATGGTAATTAATTAAGATTGAGTGTTTGGTTGTGGAAATAGGTTAAATAATGGAGAATAGAAGTACTTTTTTTTTATTGTTCTCGTCTGACTTATAGTTAACTCTGAAATCTTCATCTCGCTTTATCAGCCTTGCCATATCCGAGGCATATAACAAAATGAGACACCTGATGCTTATTCTTATTTGGATGTTACAGAAGACACCATTTGGATATACAAGGAAAGATGTCCTGTTAATTGGACTTGGAGTTACTTTACTTGGCATTGGCTTAAAAAGTGGATTGGAGGTACCTTCCCTTTTTGTAATCAACATCTTAGCACTTAGCTTGTTCCGATTCATAAGTGAGACAGTACATAGTCTGAAGATTATTAACAAATGAGTCAGGTGCCTTGTAAATAAAGAACGTAGTCAGAGTACCTTTTTAGAACTGTTTTTGTTTATGATGTGATGGAAACCATATAGGCACTTATGCGCTGGGATTAATTCATGTAACTGTTATTGGATATTTTTTGCAGTTTGCTGGAGTTGATTCACTTCAAGCAGGAAATGTGGTTCAGCTAGTGCTGGTTTTAGGCCTCACAGTTGGGTGGATCTCAACATATGTCTTTAGAGTTTCAAACAAGGAAATGACATATGCACAGCAACTACGTGACTATGAAAGCAAAGTGATGGAGGTACAATAATTTTAACAAGATTGCTTTTCACTTTAGAGGAGCCAAATTCATTAAAATATATTTTTTTGATTGACCACAAGAATTGGAAGTGCTTGTGTTGGGTATTGAATATGATATTTCTGGGTCAAATTTGTCCTTTTTCTATTTTTCCTTCATCTTCTTTGTAATAGGTTAAAGGCACACTATCGAGTGCTATGATATCGTACCTTTTTGTTTTAAAAAATATGAATGAAATAAAAAAGGATCAATAGTCCTTAAATTGTTGGAATGGGGTGGCTTAACAAAGTAAGTAATGACTATAGATTGGTGCTATCACATGAGCTGGGTATTAATCTAAATGGTGTGTCCTAGAATATTTACCGTGATATGAAGTGGCCAAACTTTAGACAATTTGGATGTAAACCAGAAGATATTACTCATCAATTATTCCACGCTTTATATGGAACATTTTATGAAGCATGTGTTAGGAAAAAATTACGCTGATCTTTCCCATATCTTCAGAAGCCACATCTAGCATGACTATCCTCCATCTCTACAAATTATTTAGCTAATCTTGTCATGCTTTCATACTGAGTATGATCATTGCAATTCCTACCACAAGAAAAACACAAGGTAAGCTAGCGAAAAGAATTCAACATAATAGCTTATAAAAACATCATCATGTTGTAACAATTCAACTTAAAACAAGACAACATCATCATCATAGCAACTTAACATCTCGCAGCCTGTTCATCACGTCAATATATATATATATAATCATCTAATGTGTCATCATGCATACCGACTATAGGGGTCTCTTACATTTTATGGTGAGTAATTCAATTGGGTTGACCCTATCAAATCATAATGACTAGTATAATACTAGAAACAACAGTTGATATTAAGGTCGGGAACAACGACTAGCACAAGGCTAGAAACAATGGCTAACATAAGTAAGATTGATTTCTTATGTTTCACCACTTAAATAAGAAAGTATGGTACTATTTCATGATAGAACAGTTTGGATATGGGTCTATCATGACATTAATCTCCAACACTAGGCCACCTTTGGGACTAACCCACTAATTATCCTCCAAATACTACAATCCTCCGATGTTAGGTTAGAGACTAAATTCTCGACCTAGTACTTTACTCGGTTGGTTGTTTTATATACGTGTGTCTTGACCTTGCCCAACACAAATACCATATAGCACCTATAGGAGACAACTAATAAACAATTTACCCATTTTGAGGCTAGCTTACCTACTAAAAGATTTCAACCGGATTCTAAGAGCACCGCAACATATATCCACACAATGGGATATTAAGTTAAAAAACATATTTAATTCCCCTCTAATTTTTATATATAGTAGTTAAGATATGTATATAATCCACATACATGTAGCTTATCAACTTAACAACTTTATCATCTTTCAACATTCAACTTCTCAACCTTAATAATGTACAACTAATACAACATTCCAATTTCAACTTCACAGCATGTAAACTTAAACAACATAAACATCATGCATCTTTCACAACTTTAAAGGAACAACATCAGAAAATTAACTTAAGCAATAACTTACTACACAACAACTCATATCATTTGACATCATCATTCATATAACTATGTCCTCATGATTCAATCGCCAGCAATTTAAGCAAAACAACTTTACATCATACCATTCATTCACAGTTGATCAACTTTTAAACAACACTAACTAACAATTTCTCATTATATAGTTTGCGTCCGACATCAGCAAGACAATGAGTTCATTGTCTCGTCCACGCCCAACATCACATCACATGCGCTTGGTGGGATTGAGGCAAAGTATACCCTCAGTCTCGCACTTGGTTTGGCAACATCCAGGCCTAACCCTAATCAAGCATAGAGCTCTCTACCTGATTCACGTTTGGTGGCACATACTTAACACCCAAAGTGAACCCAGGCAAAGACGAGCCTCTCATCTCATGTCTGACGCCTTTCAACTTACGTCTGACATGATTCTAATCCTAGACAAGTATTTCTCCTCACGTTCGACGCCACCAATATTGTGTCTAATGTGAGTAAGACAAGGACCTCTCTTTTAAAACCACGCCTGGTGCCTTAAAGGCACACCCAATGCGATATCAAATTTTACACTTGTGCAAAACCTGATTTCGCCCAATTTCCTAAAAATCAACAAATTCTAACAATATGCAACACAATGAACAACATTTATACAACATAATTTCATCATAAAAAATAACATGCGATTGGAATCAATCCTGGCTTCGAGCATGAGCCTCCACGAACACCCATGAACAAGAAAATCCATGGAAAACCACTTTCAACATCATCATTCAATCACTCAACACCTTTAGGTAATTAATCCTAAACATCACAGCCACAAAATGCACCCTTAAATTTAAAATCACAGCTTCCCTTACCTCTCGGAGAATGAATCCGCAAGAGGAGAAGGAAAAGAAAATGACTCCATGCTCCGATTGCTAGAGCTTTAACCTCGAAAACTCAAATCTTCACCACCCTAACTGGAACTAGCTGAGAAAGGAAGGAAGGAGAAGAAGGAGAGGAGTTGAGTTATGTGGCTTCTCTCTTGTAGTTATAGAAAACATAAATTATGAGTTTCCTTTTGAAAAAATTTCCTTTTATACCTTTCATAAATCAATTTCACTTATTTTTGATCCAACCCTCCAAAAATTAACATGACCTAAAGGTCTTCCAATCCCAAAAATCTCAGTAGCAACTATTAAATCAACAACATGGTTATGAGATGATAGTGTTACAAAGTTCTCTAACAATGACAAACTTATCTAAAGTTAAAAAAAAAAAAGACATAATTAAAGTTCATAAATTAACATAAATAACTAAATTATATTTTTATATATATAAAAAAAACAATGAACAATATTCAAAACTACGGAACGTGTAAACTCACTCCTCTCGATAACAAACACAGCTATACATTAATACATGGCAAATTTAGAATACTTTATAACAATCTGTTGAAGTCCTTCTACTACAAAAGAGCTGGCAAATAAACTTATGTTATTATTTAAATTGTTTTAAATATATCATGTAAATTAAATAAAAAAATTTATACCCTCTTAGAATACACCAAACATAAATTCGAAATTGGACTGAATATAGACTTAAAATTGAATTGGTTTACCTCTTTAGCAACAACACATGGAGTCTCTCAAAATGCATTTAGTTCGCTTCAATAATGCAACAAATTCAGGTGAAGGACCTTAATGAGAATGTTTGTACCGGCAGCGGATTATGATACATTGTTTTTTCAAAAGTTATATTTTTATTTTTGGAAAATGTTTTTTAAGTTTATCTAATTATTTAAAATTATAAACATATGTTTTAATGAGAGGATTTGTTCAAATTGAGTAAAGTGGTCATAAATCTTAAAGAGTTAATTATTGTTATTAAAGAATTTGTTAAGAATTTTAAAATAATTTTTTATTTTGTATATTGAAATACATAACTTATTACAAATATTTTAAATTTCAAACAGGAACTTGTTTGTTACCTACTAGACCCAATACTAATGTTATTCACAGTACAAAAATTGTCTTTTAACTTAATAGCAATAATCAAACACAAATTTCTTACTATATAAATTATTTTCAGGTTATTTAAGCACGCGATGCTTATTGACTTAGCTAACCAACCGGATTATTGTTAGCTCTTTGAACCAGTCATTGTCGAACACTAACTTTTACTTTGTCTTCATTATCAATGGTTGTTTTATTGTTTTTTCCGGTTGATTTGAAGAATTGTCGTTTTCTATCCTCTTTTATTTGATACTATTTGTAGCATTAACACTATACTGTTAGAACAGGGGCTGGATTAAAAAGTTTCACCAGGGCAATTTATTGTAATAACTAAATTGATTTTACTAATAAAGAATAACGTGTTTGGTTATAAAATTATGTTGGATAAAATTAATTTCTTAGTGAGGAAGATTTTGTTATACAATTATTTTTTTAGCACCCACTGGGCAGGGGTGAAATTAAAGGAGCATGCACAAAGTTATATATTCTAGTTTTAATGTGGTCATTGTACGAAAAAAGAATATTCAGTTAAAAAATATCATAAAATATATTAATATTAGGAGAAATTGAGTATTAAAAAGTGGTGTGAGAGTTTTTTTTGTTGTTGACATTTTTCTACTAAGGACCTTCGGTCTGGTAGTTACTTGGATTAGTAAGAAGTACAAAAAATAAAAAATTATCTTCATTATCACCGTCTTTATAATTTTTTCATATTAAAAAAATCTTCTACAATAATAAATAATTAAATAATAATATATTTTCATCATTATATTAATAATTATTGATCGACAAAGTATATAGATCAATTAGTATGAAATTATTTTATTTAAATAAATAGTCTTAATTTGAATTTTTAGTATACAACCGTAATAAATATTAAAAAAGGATTTTTTTCTGTAATAATTGCTTTAAATTATTCCAATAATAGATAATAATTGAATAAAAAAATTAAAGTAAAAATATTTACTTAAAAATATTATAGTACCGTAAACTTTATACACTTTAATAAAAAAATACTCTTAATTTTTAAGCAAGACCTTTATCTAATTTCCCTTTTGATATTAAATTTAATGAAGTGTTAGTGAGAATCGTAATGGGTTAGTATAAGGTATTGACTTGAGGCCAGCAAAAATTTGGTTTGATTGCTAAAAACAATACTCAAATTTTCATGTCTTCTTTATATGATATGAATTTGAATCCTTTGTTAATGTTAAAAAGAAAAATGTTGATAGGTAATAATTTATAAGTATTTTTTTAGCCTTAAAATCTACCCTTATCATCTTGCTAATTTTTTAAACTCAATTTACATAAATTTTTAAATATTTAATTATATATATAATTATTTTAAAAAATATTAAAAAAATAATTTAATTTTATAAAATAAAAATTATTCCTCATTTATATACACTATTATAATTTTATTTTTATATATCTTTAATAAATTTTAAAAAGATAAAACCATAAAAGGGACGAATAGCCGACAAAGGGTGATGTGTGCATCTACGTTTTAATTTTGGGGGCAAACCTCATATCATAGTCATAATCATTTGCAAAGCGGGGCACGCGGTGTAAACAACACGGCTTCAACGCGGTTCAAACTTTAATACGCGAAAAATAAATACTATCGCCACTTGTTTTATTTTCATATTATATTACAAAAGAGTAACATTTGTTCGGGTTTTCAAAATCCACACCTTTGTTCTTTTCTCCCTTGCTTCCTTGAATTAAAAATGAATGAAAACAGTGTAAATTCAGTACGGATTATAGGTGTCAGAAAATGGTCGAACATGTCCGAGCCAGTTGATGATCTGTTGTGTCCGATTTAGAAAATATGGTCTAAAGAAAATTGGGCTAGAATAGGTTAGGTATTTGTATAAAATTTAATAAGAGTTTCTTTAGACATGGTATAAGATTTTAAAGAAATTTTCTATTAATTTTTTTAAAAATATATAAAAACTTTTATTTTTTATTTGTATTTAAACATGCTTTATATCTATTTGGTCAAAAAATAAAATAAAAAATATGACTTGTCACTATGTTCAAAAAAATGCAATCTTTTGATCTAGAGTTTGATTCATTTGACAATTTTATTATAAATAATATTTTTAATTTAATTGTGTTTTTATGATACTAAAAAATATTTATAATAATTAGAGTAATATTTGCTCACTAAAAGTTTTTTCAATAAAAAAAAATTATCTACAAAATTTAATATAAGTATCTATGCAAAACCTGATTACATAAGAGTAGCATATAACAAAAGTAAAACTAGCCACATCTAGCATGACTATCCTCCATCTCTACAAATTATTTAGCTAATCTTGTCATGCTTTCATACTGAGTATGATCATTGCAATTCCTACCACAAGAAAAACACAAGGTAAGCTAGCGAAAAGAATTCAACATAATAGCTTATAAAAACATCATCATGTTGTAACAATTCAACTTAAAACAAGACAACATCATCATCATAGCAACTTAACATCTCGCAGCCTGTTCATCACGTCAATATATATATATATAATCATCTAATGTGTCATCATGCATACCGACTATAGGGGTCTCTTACATTTTATGGTGAGTAATTCAATTGGGTTGACCCTATCAAATCATAATGACTAGTATAATACTAGAAACAACAGTTGATATTAAGGTCGGGAACAACGACTAGCACAAGGCTAGAAACAATGGCTAACATAAGTAAGATTGATTTCTTATGTTTCACCACTTAAATAAGAAAGTATGGTACTATTTCATGATAGAACAGTTTGGATATGGGTCTATCATGACATTAATCTCCAACACTAGGCCACCTTTGGGACTAACCCACTAATTATCCTCCAAATACTACAATCCTCCGATGTTAGGTTAGAGACTAAATTCTCGACCTAGTACTTTACTCGGTTGGTTGTTTTATATACGTGTGTCTTGACCTTGCCCAACACAAATACCATATAGCACCTATAGGAGACAACTAATAAACAATTTACCCATTTTGAGGCTAGCTTACCTACTAAAAGATTTCAACCGGATTCTAAGAGCACCGCAACATATATCCACACAATGGGATATTAAGTTAAAAAACATATTTAATTCCCCTCTAATTTTTATATATAGTAGTTAAGATATGTATATAATCCACATACATGTAGCTTATCAACTTAACAACTTTATCATCTTTCAACATTCAACTTCTCAACCTTAATAATGTACAACTAATACAACATTCCAATTTCAACTTCACAGCATGTATACTTAAGCATGTTACTTTTTATAGTTACTTATTGTCAAACAGCCGCCCTGTATTTGCACTGGTTTTGATATCTTTTCGTTGTTGGGGAAACTGATCTTTATATTGTCTAGAACTAAAATATGAGTTGGATGGATTGCCAACTTTATTCAAAACGTTTCATATTTTTCTTTCACATGTCAAGTGAAAAAGTTGATTGCTTAATAGGAGCGGCTGTAGTTTAAAATCCTCAAATTGGGAGCAGCTCTATGATAAAATATTACTTTTACTTTCCTCTTCTGTAGTGAGCTTGAGAGACTAGGAGTCTGAAACATATTCAGATATCCCAAAAATGATGAATAGTAAAAAAAAATTCTTTCTAAACATACATGGCTGAAACTTGAAAATTGAGTCTACAGAAGATTGTGTTCACATTGTTTCTGTATAGAACATGCCATTGAATAATGTTGCCTGTATTGAATCTGCAGAAGCGGTTAGAGTCCCTAACAGAAGCAGAGCTACAAGCACTGCTTGAAGAGGTTGAGGAAGAGAAGAGTCGCTAGCCAGTGGTGCGTAGGTGAATTGAAGTAGCTTGTTTGTATATATACAAAGAAGTTTTGCCTAAGTAATTGAAACAGAAAATTTAATGTATATGGAACTAGTTCAGAAAGGTTTCAGCTATGCTTGCTTGCTTCAGTTTACTCATGAGACAAGATGACGAGACTTGAAGTCCTTAGTGTACTGTCACAAAAAATTCCAGATGGAAGCAACTCTGTAAGATAGGATGATAATGCTTTTAAATTCATATAATATTATGTCTTTTCTTGGAGCCGTTCACCACTTTACCTCATTCTATGAAGGATCATGTTGAAGGTAATGTTGGAACTTGGCATAGAACCATTTTCCTAATAAACTGAATTTTTAAAAAGCTTAACTTCTTGGTCCTAAGTTCCTCCTAGAGAAAAACGAATTGCATGTCCTTTAGGTATGCAATTACCCACAACTCATTGGGACCACTTAATTGGTAATTTGTGAATCAATATGTGATCTGCTCTGCCCTCTAGTAGAAGCATTTGAATGCTCTAAATTTGAATGTTGCCCCTTTTCTTTTGTTTGTGTATTTCTTCCCCATTTTGAAGGAAGGAGACCAGTGTATAGAATAGAAGTCATAGCTCATAAGTGGGAAAATTGTCTTTCTGATACTAAATTAGGAATAGATCGAGCCTACCGATAATCATCTTACCCAGTGACATTTTGTTTTGTGCCAGCTATCGGGAAAAACTCAAGTCTCACATCGACTAGAGATTACGCAATTAAATAGTATATAAGTGAAAAACAACCCTTATCTTACAAACCGATTTTGTAAGGTTGAATTAGGCTTAATCTACTATTCTAAGATAGTATCAGAGCCATTTAAATTCACTTTAAATGGGCCACCCACCATTGATGCATGCCTCATAGGCATGAGGGGGTGTATTGATGCATGCCTCATAGCCTACATCGATTATAGTATATAGGTGAAAAATAACCCTTACCTTACAAGCTAGTTTTGTAGGGTTGAGTTAGTCTTAATCCACTATTTTAAGACCAAGAAAGGGCACGTGGGAAGTGCTAGAGGTGACAATTCTAATTTATGTGTGTTGGGGTAAAGCTATCATTTCATGTTTCTTAATAATTATGCTATGAGATAATGACTGCTCGCCATCCACAAATTGATATATCAAAATGCGTTGGCCAATTTATTTTATATATATATATACACCAGAAGTTCAGAACCGGTCACGTGTTTGTACCGCCTCTGTTTCATACAATTCTTCCCTTACCCTTTCTGGCATATGACAGAGAACCATTCACGTGCAGGTTTGAGGGGGATCTTTGAGTCTTGACCCTTAAACCAACAAAAAGCTAAAGCTAAGAGGGAATGCGGAACAAATTCGGTATTAAAATCCAAATCAAGTCGAAGGCGACAATACCATGCCATGCGGTGTTGAAATCCATATAAAGTTAACATCAAGTCATTTTCTTTTAAAAAAATTTTCTCCTTAAATTTCCGAATGTTACTAAAGCTGAGGAAGCATCATCTTTTTTATTTGAGCTCAAATTTTGTCCCACGGTGAACTTAAGAAAGCTCATTAAGACATTTCTTATATCCTTCAGGGATGAATGAACTAGTTATTTTTACAAGTCATAAATGGAAAATAACTAATACTAATACATTAAGACCGATTAAAATTCCATATAAACACAGCATTGACTTATTTAATTAATAATGTGCAAAAGAAATACTAATATAACACTTAGCACAATAATTTAGATGGAGACGTAGAATTAGAACGAGGTACTATTAGGTATAATAGATAAAATTAAAAATACTTAACACAAGTAAACAATAACATAGGAAAAATAAACTCTTACTTAAATATTTTTAATTATGAAAATCTCATCTATAACGAGTTATATCACGAGATAGCAATAGATAGGGAATACTTTTTTTTTTTCCTTTTAGCTTTTCAAACTTTAATGTTTAATATATTTCTTGTTATATCATAAAAGTTATATATATATATATATCATATAATATAATATGATCCTTTTCTTTCATGCACATAGTCAAGTATTTTTTTTAAAACTTTTTTCTTTTAAAAACATTTTTTTAAATAAACAGTTTCGTATTTTTTTTTAAGAAGAAACTCCTATCTCCATCTTAAAAAATTATTTTTCTTAAAAATATTAATTTAAAAATATTTATTTTTAAGTTCAAACAAATATACCTTTAATATTATGTAAATGGTGAAAATCAATTAATTTCAAGAAATTACTCTTACGAGACTGAGATACTTTTTGTCTCGCTATAAAAAATTAAATTAAAAAATATGCAATTAACTTTAAAATAATGAAGTAATTAAATAAATTAGTTAAAACATTTTAAAAAATAATTAAACTAATTAGTTAGACATAAAAGGATAAAAAATGTAACCACCAAAATAATATATCCTTTTATTAATATTAGCAAAAAGGAACATTGCATGTCTCTGTTATTAAAAGAAAATAGTAATTATCTAAAAAAATGTGTCTTTTTGTTTTATTTTAAAAAAAGAAAGAAATAATAAAATGAAATAATTATTTAAATTATGTGAGTGATTTATAATTTATGAAAAATAATTTAAAGATAAAATTAAAACTAAAATATATAGAGAAAAAAGTTTTACCACTTTTATAGTAGTAATAGATGATAGATTCTAGATTCGGCTGCTCTCGATGAGAATCAATTAATTTGAAGAGATTACTGTTAATTCCGCTGTTCATTTACCATAATCATACGATGTCTATGGATAAGATCTTCTATCATCTACTATCTATATAGTTAATACAACAATTGTTGGCATATCACATCCAAAAAAATTCATAGTTGGCATATATTGAAGGACCTTGAGGTTAGGTAATGCTAAAAGAAGAGGTTATAAATCAATGAGATGCGACGTAGATAAAAGGGAGCAAGAATATATGTATGTGCAAAATTCATATAAAAACAATTTGTCACATAAGATGTGAATACAATGGCACACTAAACTTAATTATTTCATATTTCATAATTTAGCAGTAATTTTTAACGTTTAAATCCACGTGGATACGTAAGATTTTCCATAATTCGTGTGGTCAAATGGCATTCTTGTTGTATATAGTAATTGTTGAAAGACAATATATAAACCAAAAATAAAATAATTGGTCTGGTGGTGGAAGTGTTATCCGGCGCATGAAGCAGGATAATTACTTTATACTTGATTGAAGGCAAGAGAATATTTTATATGAGCATTGGGTTCCCTCTGTAGTCTCTACGCGTGTCCGTCATGGAGAGTTTAAACAGGTGAAAAACTGACAGATCAGAGAAGTGAACAGAAACAAAGCATCTAGATAAGCGCCACGTGTCAGTTTCATCACACCTCTTCCCGTTAATATTAATATGAAAACTTGTCCATATTCAAACACCAAACTCAATCATTTCAAGTAATTATTCTTCAACATCCTTCCTCTATCTCTAATTATAAATTACAAAAACATAAAAAACGGTTCATCCGTACCCATGGCCGTTTTTCTTCCGCTCATCCCTCTCGATCCCAAACCACCATTCTTCCTTAATCTCCTCTGAATTTCAATATCTGTCTCCATATTCTCTCTCTCCCTCTCGTTGGTGTCCTGCGTCTATCTCTGTTTAGTCTTTACGCGCTTGTTTCCATGGAGTCGGCCAAGATTGCTGGCTTCGCTGCAAAAACCCTAATCCCCGCGTGAAACGTGTGCGCGGAAACCTCATCGGCGGAGAATGGCGATTGTGACCGGAGATCGGTACCTCGAGAAGTTGGTGCACTTCGTGGAGGACCAGGCGGGACCTCTGATCGAAGGAGCCTTGGTGTTGAAGCTGAATCCAGCGGGTCTTCACTACGTGCAATCGCGGCTGGAGGCGCTGCACGAGTTGGAAAGCCTCCTTTCCGGCGCTCCGGTGGACTACCTCCGAGCGTACGTGTCGGACCTCGGTGACCACCGCGCTCTGGAGCAGCTCCGTCGGATCCTGCGCCTCCTCACCTCGCTGAAGGTCGTTTCGGTGCTGCCTCATCCAATCAGGGATCCAACGCCCTTGTCGTTTCTTCCGTTAGGGTGCTTGAAGGTTCTCGAACTCAGAGGTTGCGACTTGTCAACTTCCGCCGCCAAAGGCTTGCTCGAGCTCCGCCACACACTCGAGAAGATCGTTTGTCACAACTCTACCGTGAGTCGTATTCGTTTTCTATTTGCTTTCTTTCTTCACAATTTTGCTGGGTGTTGAGTTTTGTTATTAGGATGCTCTGCGGCACGTGTTTGCTAGCAGGATAACGGAGGTGAAGAAGTCTCCGCAGTGGACGGTTGAAACACTTGACCTCAGCAGGAACAAGTTTGCAAAGGTGGATAATCTGCATAAGTGTACCAAATTGAGGCATTTGGACCTTGGTTTCAATAACTTGAGAGCATTTGCACCCTTCAGCCAGGTATATGGTTAGAATAATCATCATTTCGTTATCTGGTCTTGATGATTGCATCCTGAGTTGTGTACTGGACCTAGTATGTCTGGGATTACTATCTTTTGCATCTTATATTACATGTTGGAAAACTAGAGTTTTCAATTTAGTTGAATGTATCATTGTCATTGGAAAACTGGAGTTTCTCAAATAAGGCTACCAGAAGTTAAATTTAGCCGCCCGATTTATTGATTCTACACCAAGGCCTTCAAACGTTATAGGGGCCTTTCATAAAATTGTTGAGAATAAAGCCAACATAAGTAAAATTCTATTCATGTTATTCTAGTAACTTGAATTAGGCTCTCAACATTTAACACAGTAAAGCAGTTTGAGATTTTTGAGATTGGGAACTCAAATAGAAGAAAAACTATTCTTCCCTTTTTCTCGGTTTAAGATTTTTCCTCTGGCCAGCTTGATTGAGAATATCAGTCTCCTTGGATATGGTTTTCTGTGAGGTCTCAAGGATCAATTAGAGCACCAGTGATTTTCAAGTTATGGGACTCCGAATGTATTTGATTTGATTTGAATTTCTAAATTCAATGAGCTCATGTAATTACTCTGAGATTGAAAATGCAGTATTAAGCTCCTGCTGATCCTGTGATGAACAATCCAGTGATATTTTAGATGGAAACTAAAATGGTGTGGGATCAGCCAAGCTATGACCATTGCTTGGATGGACTTATCATTCTTTGATTATTAGTTTATTACTATTCTACTATTTTTGTGGTTGCCTTTGGATAGAACAACAATGATTCTAGTGGGCTTTGATGCATATATGTTTTGAGTATTTGAGGGTTAGTATGAACGTTCCTAGCACAATCATGTCCCTGATTGTAAATTTTTATTGATTGATGGAGTCATTTCAAGGGTGGAATTCAAATCTTGCAGAATTGGTTCAATACAAGTTGTAAATATAGGTATGGCATAAGTTTCTAAGTGCACATTATTGTGGGAAAAACAAGGAGTAGATGCTTACATGCCATGCACTCACCAAGGTTGATCCATAGAAATAGTTATGTTCCCAACTTCCCATAATTAACTGCCGTGCTATATGATTTTGTGCATGTTCCTTTTTGTGGTCTCCTACATTCTTTTACAATGAAAATCTAAATTTCACCAACTACATGTTAAGGGTAACTAGGTCCTCTTAATTTGCTTACTGTGCTGACTTCTGCAATTCATGGAATATGGATTGATATTTTAAGATTGAAAGTTGAATGACGGGATCCTCAAATGCAATGAGAGCAAATTATTGTAGTGAAGTTATCAATCTCTTTTGTTTTAGTTGTATGTCTTTCATTTAGGGTTTAGCTATGGACCCATATACAATTTTGTTGGACCATGCAGGTTTCCTGTCATATTGTTAAACTAGTTTTGAGGAACAATGCTCTAACTACTTTGCGTGGAATTGAGAATTTGAAGTCGCTTGAAGGAGTTGATATTTCCTACAATATTATTTCCAATTTTTCAGAGCTAGAGTTCCTTGCGGGGCTTCCATATCTTCAAAGCTTGTGGTTGGAAGGAAATCCTTTGTGTTGTGCTCGATGGTATAGAGCACAAGTATTCAGCTTCTTTGCCTATCCAGAAAGGGTAATTTATATTATTTACTTTTACACCCTCCCTGCTCCAACAATATGTCTCCATGTCTATTTGTTTGTCACTTTGTGCAGTATGCTTTCATTTGAGGGTGTATTTTGCCATGTGTACTTGTCATTGTTGTTTGAGATTTTACTGTAACTTAATGTCATTTTCAGATATCATTTAATTTCTGAAGTTTGTGTTTTCTGTGTAATATTATCTTCACATTTTTTGTTTTTGCTCTTTTTTTTTTTTTAACTTTTCTTTCTAAACTTACATCTGGTCTTCTGTGTTGATCAGTTGAAGTTAGATGAGAAAGAAATAAACTCTAGTGATTTTTGGAAGAGGCAAATAATCGTTGCCAGTATGCATAAGCGACCTGCCAGTTTTGGGATTTATGTGCCTGCAAAGGATGAGGCTGTTGTTGAAGGTGGCAATATCAGAAGGGTACGAACCTAGTGAAATTGGAAATGTAGATTAAATTATTGATTTTGCACTTTGAGTTTGATGCTAATTATTCTCATTTCTGAAAATTGAATTTGAGAAGCCAATTTCATCTGTACATGTATCTATCACATTGTTTAATATTCTAATACTTTTCATTTTTATCTACATAGAGATTCACATAATGTTATTCTTGTCTTCTCAAACAGAGAAAGGTATCCCGTCTTGTCAGTATCAAAAATGAAGAAGAGATCACTAGCATATGTTCTGATGAGGACTCTGTCTCTTGTGCAAATGATATTCAAGATAGAGAGGATCCTGATTTATCTGACAATGAAGCTGAAATAGTAGATTTGATAAACAGAGTTGAACATATGAAGAAAGAGCGTTCTATTCACTGGTTGAGGGAATTTAAAGACTGGATGGATATTGCTTCTGACAAATCAGTAGAGACTGGGAAAGAAGGCAGCACTACACTGCATCGTCTGAAAGAGAATTACATCAGAAACAAGACAAATCAGCAGCCTGGTGACATCTCAAGATATGCTTCAGACTCTGTTCTAGCCTCAGGAGATGAAAGTAGCATGACTATTTTAGAATCTGATGGTTCTTTTGTAGATATGTCTGCTTTTTTCCATAGATTGCAGCACTTTGACTATAGGGGTTTACTTGGTAATGCTAGTGGGGCTGCACTTTTTGATTCAGGAGGAGTGGACATGGAGCGCCTTAAATCCTCACTTGAGGCAATTAATAGTTCTATCTCACAAACTATAAGTTTTCATCCTGACACCATTACCACGCAAGGAGCACAGAGAATGGCTGAGAATGTCAACATCTCACCATTGACCACCATTCATGATATATCTGGGTCTCAATCATCATCTGCATACCCCTCATCTCCTCCTCATTTTCAAGAAGATCTTCTTCATCGCCGACAACACCTGGTGGAAGAAATTTTGCAGCTGTCAGCAGATTCCTTTTCGGTTGCATCTTCTGATAGTAACACAAGCTGTAGTGAAGGTGATTGCAGTGAATTTGAGCCATCAGTGCCTAAAGTTGTTAATTTCCCGTGCAAAAATTATGTGAATGGCAGTGTTGATGGTCATTTATCTCAAAATCAGCTCAAGGGAAAGTTCTACAACCCAAAACAAAATGCATTTTCTACATCTAGTTCCACCTGTGATCAAACTTCTAAGCAGAATTCAATTGATTTTGCTGCTGGTGCTGACAATGCTGAGAGTGCTAGCCAAGACACTGGTTTGTTGGGGAAAAGAAAAATCAGAAAGAAAGCCAAGAAGAGAATCATTTCAATATTAGAAGAGAATTCAGATGGCGATGCATCTGATCATACACAAGAGCAGATAAGTGAAGGACAGGTTTCTGCAAATTTAAAACAAGAATTGGGCATAAATGATTTTACTGAATTTTCTGGGCATAATTACCCTACCCAAGAGAATGATGATCTGATTGTGACATATTTCAATACAAGTATTGCTGATTCTGAAGCCAGTGAGGTCTGTAGTCAATGTATGCGCTGTAGTTGTGTCCTTCAGAGGGAGACAAACTATAAAGAAAGGTAATTATCTATTGATTCAATTCACCAGCATTTATGTGAATTTACTGGGAGGAATCCAATAGATAATAGCTTCATCTTAAGCTGTTTTGTTTGCTTGGGTCTCTTTTGTTATATCTATAATATTTTCTGGATAACTAGTCAATTATTGTTCATAATCATTAATGTTTTGCCATCTTTTTCTGATAGGCAGCGTCTCTTTTGCAAAATGATATTAGGATATGCTCAGGTGGCCATTTCACTGGATTCTAAGAATATTTTCTTGCCTAATTACCAAATTTTTAACCTTGCACATAATTGCATATATTGTTCATGTGTGTTGATTTCTCTTCTAATCTTTCCAATACATCAAAATGTAGGTACTTTCCTATGGTTTGTTGTTGATTACATCAGACAGTCTCTAAGGAGCTGTTAAATAAAATATTGAGATTTGTCTAAGTGGTGTCCTTCCCTCAAGTGTTTAAGTAGAAACCTCCATTTTGTTATCTTCCTTGAAGCTTCTCTTTTGCATGAGGTTGAAGTGTTAAGTGTACTGGTTAAAAGTGTAAAATGATTTGTACTTTTTTTTATCAAAAAAAGGAGGGAAATGGATACAACTAATTTTGTCAAACTTGACGAGTTTACATAAACTCGTGGAGCTACTGTAGACTTGACTAAGTTCGTAAGAACTTACTTAATATAAAAGGTAATATTAAAAAAAGAATCTATAAATGACATAGACACATAAACATAATAATCATATCATTCATCATTTCAACTTCATAATACAACAAAGTAGCAAACCACATAGATCCAGACCCACTGATATCAGACATTATGCGAGTCACACAGAGACCAAGACTGCAGAAAATGGAGATTTATAGTTAAATAGTATAATTATTATAATAATTATAAACATATCAAAATAATAGGCAGACTGAATGGGCTGATCAAAAAGGAAGGAGCTTGAGCTGAATGGGTTGCAACGATAGAGGAAGGAGCTTTCCCCTTTCGCAAATGGCAAAGGGAGGCGTGAGAGAAGAGGCGGATCGAGTGAGAGACTAGACTTTAACACAGCTGAAGAGATGTGCAAGAGAAGGGAGAGACATGACTCTAACACAGCAGAACAGGGACTCTGTTTGCTAGAAAGCTGAGCCCTAGTTGAGTGAGAGAGGATGTTATAGAGCTGAGCCCTAATTGATTCAATCCAACCACAACTGAATGCTGTTTTGCTGTGACGTGGGTGCCAAGATGAACTCACAAAATTGGACTTAATTTTGGCCAATCCCACCAGAAATGATTCCAGCATTGAGTCAGCACGATTTAGAGAGATAAACTCATAAACTAAGACTTTATGAGTTACACTCAAGTTTGACAACCATGGATACAATGACAATGACAACCAAGTGTATTTTCAACATGCCGGGCCAACAACATGGATCAAACAACATCGTAATGTTCTGTCATACATTAAACAAGTTATTGACTTCTAAATCCCTCTTAATGATTTTTACCTAGTTCTTTTTGGTCTTTGCTTCTAGAGATCGGACTACTCTTCATTCGATCTACTATCTTTACTAGGGTTCCATTTATCTCCTCCACACATAAAAAGAAAGTGGATAGTTACCTAACATTTTATAAAATGGGTAGGAAAGCCCTTGAAAAGGCTTAAAAGCCAACCTTTAAGTATCTCAATACGTAATGTTTTGTTGTACCAAAAAAATGATGCTCTCAAATTCTATTTTAATTTGGAAGAAACAGTGGATAGTTATTTAAGATAACTCATGTTTTTATTGTGGTAATCTTGTGGAACCCGTTATGATTTAGAATGGAATCAAGTGAAATGGTTGTCAAAAATTAGTGATATGTTGAACTAAGTATATAACTAGTGATTTTTTAGTTGATTGTTGTTAAATATGTGTATTAGTCTTTTTCGTTACCAAACAGAACTCGCATAGATAAAAATGCTTGTAAATTTTAAGTTACATTTCATAATTGATGTCTTTTATATTTTAAAAGTGTGTCATGATAAAGACATGATATAGTTAATTTTGGTATTAAAAGGTTCTAATTCAATACTTCTTTCTTTCTGTTTCTCTTCTTATGTTCCCTCTACTACCCAAAAGTTCTAGATCCGTTATTGGTATTTACCATATAGATGATAGTAAACTTCCCAAAATGAACAATTTTTAGATATGATTATTTGAAGTACCCCTTTCCATATTGTTCTGTGCTGATTATGTTTGTACACTAATTTTTTTGCACATTCCTGAAAAGGCATATATAATTTATTTTTTTCCCTTTGTAGCGAAGTTGCAGTATTGTTGAGCAGTCATAAGAAGCTCTATTTGCTGCTGATCAACGTTGCTTCTGATGGGCCAGGTTAGGTCATAGCCTTTTGATTTTTGTTGGCACCAGGAACTTAATTGTTTGTTTCACTCTTATTACGTTCTCCTTTTGTCTGTGCCTATCATGTTAATTTTTGTAAAATTATGAATATCCTTATCTGCTCTGGGGGTTAACATTTGTATCCTCTTTCAAACTGCTATTTGTGTTTATTAAAATTAAGTTCCATAGCATTTATCCAGTGAACTCCAACTTCTGTGCTGTTTAAATGTGCATTGATAATTTGCCACAATACAATTTCTCTCCTTATTTGTATGTTTCTTTTATGTTTACACTAGGAACTTTTGTTAATTTTATCTCTAAAGATGTTTTTACTTTTAGCTTATGCAAACGCAAACAATTCTTTCAAGCTGATTTTTAAAATATTCACAAATCAATTCTATTACAATCCGTGCTTTCAATATTAATTATTTTGAAATCAATTCTACAAAAATATAAACGAAATGAGCCCATAAAAGGCTTGATTTTCAATTCATCTGAATGTGAATAATGGCATTTCATACTTCAGAAGTTGCTAATATTTTATACATGTTTTGCAACTTGAAAAATGAACACCCCTTTTAACCCTCCCTTCTTAGATCTATAAAGTTTTCTCGATTGATTGTTGCTTATATAGCTATTAAAACCCTCTTGAATATGCCATCCAGGAACACTTCTGAGTGTATTGAGTTGCCACAAGATTGAAGAAGTTTGTGAGGTACAAGTAGGAATGGCACTTCAGGTGTTAAGGTTAGTGAGAACTTGTATACTTACATCAACTAAAGAATCAGCAGCTTTCTAAATGTAATTCTTTTGGCTCATCAGGGTAAATTTTGAGAATGGGGAAACGTATCTTTTTGTAACAAGAAGCATTGAGAAATCAAGAGAATTACTATGTACCATACATGTGCTTGATTCTTGTGGTGGAAATGCTAGATGCTCAATAAGAAGGTGATTTACCTTTTTCTATACATTCTCACACACAACATGTCTTGATGCAATTATTGATATTAATAATTTCTCTATAGATATGATATACAAATATGTTTTATTTTTTTTCTTATTTTCGATTCTTACTGTTATAATAGATGCATTGTGGAAATTTAAATGGCAGTTTGGAGCAGGTCCAGGTTGAGTTGTTTGACAACCAAATATGTGGTGGTTCAAATGTGAGCATATATCAGTATGCAATGGTGCTTGTCTTTTGTGAAAATGGCAGCGGTATGTTTCTCTCTAGTCATTTTATACGGTACTTTTTCCTTTATATTCTATTCTAATGAGAATGACTGGTTAATTTTTATTTTCGTCACAAACCTTCTTTGAGATTAATTTACAGCTCTGATATCTGAAAGATGATATTAGATAAAAAAATCCCTCAAAACCAGGAGTGAAAAGCTTTATTGCCATTTCCTTAGATGGTTGGAAGTAGTAACAATGCGTTAAGTAGGATGATTGTGTAAATCCACTTTTGGTGGGAATTTTCTTCAATTTCACATTCACTTGAAGGTTTCAGAAACGATGTTTTATTTTTACCATTAATTCAAAAGGTCTTCAAACTCTTTGTTCTTTTATTAATATTAGTTTACAGACATTAAGTTGTCCATAATTTTAAACTTACAGAGGAATCATGGCTCTCAAGATCACTGTTTGTGATTGGAGGGTATGTGCTTTTGTGCATTGAAGATGTTAAGCAGCTGTACACATTTTCATCAGATTCATCTGCGTCGCCATACTTCAGAATTGATTCATGTTGCTCCATTGCTGACATTACTGAGACGGTAAGGATATTGTTGGGGCTAAGTGATGCAGAAAAAACCTGAAATTATAAACAAACAAAACCAGTGGATTTTGAAATCTTATAAGCAATGTATAATAATCCTAGAAGAGAAAAACTTGATCTGAGTATGTGGATAACAACAATCAGGCATCCTTTTTTCCTCAGTAATTATTTTTCAAAGGTAAAATCTATTTAGTCCCTATAAATATGATTAAATTTGATTTATTCCTCCAAAACAATTTTGTTGCCACCTTAGAAGGATGGTTGTCTTGTTGATGTGATATACATGCCGCGTTACATACCACTAATTAAATGATGGAAAAATTTAAAATTTATGAAGATCAAAAAAAAAAAGAAAAGGAGATTAAAACCATATTTTAGTGACCAAAAACATTAGTATAGAACATTGGCTGGTCTTCCTCCTCTTCTCCCGCCTCAACTATTGACTAAATATTTTTTTGCTTGGTTTATTGTTTAATTTAATGTTCTCATTTCCAGGTTATTGAGGTTGGTGGCAACTGCTATGTGACTTTAAGTCTGACATGTTCACCGGAAGAACTCCATTCATCTACCCAAATGAACCTTGAAACTGTCAATCATAAAAATACTGCTCCCGGCACTCTTAAATTGAAGCTTCAGTGGTTCTCCAAGGATTACCTTGTGAAGTTTGTGTCATTGTTGAAGGCAATCCATGAAAAAGAATCGGGGTCACCTTTGGTAGTAAGATGTATATCGTAAATCATTTTTGCATTGTGTCAGTTCATATTAATTTCATTCATTTGTTTAGGTTTTCAAATCTTTTTATTTTCAATTAGTTTCCTTGCTTGGTGTGTTGAGTTTGTGATAGTTTCCTTCTTTTTATTCTTTGATTTATATCCATGTAGTGGTTGTTCTTTTTCTATGTATAGAATTGTACAGTATCACTACACGTTATTAGCCTTTGTCTTGCTCCTTCCCTCCCTCCTCTGCCCTCTTCCCAGACGGAATAAAAAAAAATGAGAAAAATTTCAATTTAAATGTTGTCGTTGTTTCTTTTCTCAGGATGCCAGCCCAGCCATGAAATTTAGAATTTATCTGATAGGATGAAATTTGTATATTTGAATAGTGTGACTATAAAGTGAAATCTCTCCCCATTTTCCAACTCGTGATTTTTGTATCTTGGAATCTTGCGTGCAACTTTTGTTCTGTTTATCAATTGAAAGAAGTACTTTCAAAATCTCACCTTTTTTTGTAAGTTGAGTTAACGTATGAGCCGGAGATATTGGAAGGAAATGGTCATTGCATATTATGGAAAGGGGGCTTCTTTTCACACTCCTATTTTTTATATTTCCAAAATACGCCTTCCCCTCACCACATGCGCCCCTCATTTTTCTCTTTTCTTCTGTCCAAAGCTAGAGCCATTCTAGACTTCCGTTTTTTTCCTCCGCTTTTTGTAGATCTTGCGGATATTAGTTTCTTTAATGCAGTTATTTTTTATGCATGACATAAATTTAATTTTTGTAATGTAAAAAGTATTTTTAACAAAAAATGTGCTGGATATCGAAGGGAAAAAAGAAAAAAAAACCGGTAAGAACATAAGCCCCTTTATTGAAGGTTAGTTAAACTTGTTGCATTCTGTGATGCCAAAATCAGCCCTTTCCTTCCACTGCTGTTCCAATGCTCCTGATGCCTTAAATGAGCAAGAGGCTCCACAAATTAGGAAATACGAGAGAATAGAATTGGATTATCTTTATCTTTGTTGGTGGTCTATAATGGAGAAAAAGGACGATGATGTGAATAGGTAAGTTAACAAGTTTAATGGCTCTGTAAAGTGTTGAAACTTTTATTTCTCAATTAGTTAGAAATTGTCTTAGAACGATTTTTAAAGTGATTATTGTAAAAAAGTTTGTGATTAGATGATATTGAAAAATTAATTTATATTGTTCTGTTGGTGCGTATACTATTTTTAACAGTTCATTTGTACAAATTACATTATGATGTGGAATCCATGAGGGTTTGCTTTAAAATATATACGTGCATCCTTCGAGATTGTAGATAACGATCCAAAACTAGGGGTGGGCATAAAAAACCAAATCCATGTCCAACTAAATGACTATATTTGAATTCCATTTTTTTTAATCGGATAAATAATCCAATTCATGCCTATTCATATATAATTGAATGGGTTAGATTTAAAATTCATATTCATTTAATTGGATAAAATCGATTCGGAATTTTTTTGAATCCGGTTTAAATTCAGTTTAAACCAGTTTATAATTTAAAAGCAATATTATTTTCTTTTACTTCAAATAATATTTTGTTTTGTCTTACTTTTGAGGATGCTGATTGGGGATGACAATGTGACATATGGGTTTCAATTTTTTTTGTCTCTACTCATTTTTTCCTCATATGACAATATCTAATGGATATTGAATTTGTGTATGGATATTTTGTCTTTCATTTTTGTTCTTGTTGAGTATGAGGTGGATTTGAGTACTTTTTTTTTTGCAATATATATATATATATATATATATATATATATATTG